GAACAAATAAAGATTGAGACTAGCAATTTGTATTCACATAAACAAGAAGTTCATCCCCCAATAGGTTCCATCAAAACCTTAGACAAAGGATTTAGCTACTCATAACTATGGGGAAAAAAACTAAAACAATATTCATCATAAAACTTGCAAGAAAAATCAAAGAAAAGAAGAAAGATATTTTGGGTGATCTCTCACAATTGTTTTCTTTGCCAAAATACTCTCCAAATCAATACATGCCTCTCTTGGGCGAAGTCTAGTGTTTAAAATAGGGTTTTGGGCTAAAAATCCCGTGTTTTTCACTTTAGTCCCTGAAGTTCTTCGCCTCCGTCGCGGTTCTGCCGCGGTCGTGGTCAAACCGCGGCCAAACATGCTCTCTGATTCTCACTTTGTCTGCAGCCCTCTTCTACCGCGGTTCTGCCGCGGTCGCGGTGGAACTGCGGCAGTCCTCTTTCGGTTCTGACTTGAGCTGTTTCGCGTGGTTTACTTGACGGAATTTTACGATCGGCCTCTTTTTCTCCATATTTGATCCCAAAAGTACTCCATAGCCTTCTCTGGTCATATATAACCTGCAAAGCATGAAAAATACTAATAAGAGCATTTTGTTATCACTTTTATCATCCAAACTATACAAGAAAGTGGTTATTTAGGGCCTAATTATAGTTAAATTCACCTATTATCAACACCCCACACTTAAACCTTTGCTCGTCCTCGAGCAAGTTAAACCACACTTCTAGGCCTAATCGTTCGATGCATTACCCAATTTTTATGCCACACCCACCATTATGAAGGAACAACCTAAGCAGTGCAACAATCGCGCCTTAGATGAAGACTCTAACACCATGACACACTCATGCTCACTCTAGTTACTCTAACAAAGGTGAAAACTCACTTTTTCTTCCTAAGTCACATGCCCTCACATCATAATTCTAAGAGAAGTTCCACACACATAAAATTCAAGCAACAAGGAACCAAAGATAGGAAGAATTCACTAACTCTCAGCAAAGAACATTCACATGCCACGCAGACACACCATAAGCTTGCCCCTAGTGTAGTACTCTACTAATCGAGCTATTCAGTCAAAGATCAAGAGGTCTTTATTTGGTTGTAATGTAGGCTAAGGGACGGGTAGGATATATTTGGATATAGTGACTAACCTCCCTAAGCACTTTTAATACACACTTCCTTTTATTTCAATTTCCATGCTCAGCCCACTCGTTCTTCCACATTTTAGTTCATAGGTGACCCCCACTTTTCTTTAGGTGCAACTATTTTTTTTTTCTTTTACAAATCCATTGCACCATTCAAGTATTTCTTTCCTGATTCCCCTTTTTTCTACTTCCTTACCACCCCCCACTTTGACTTTTGTATGTTCTTTAGTAATTCAAGTGCTTCTAGGAGGTACAGGTTCAAACAGTCAAACTATTCAAACACGGGGATATAAGTCATTATAGGGTTATCAAAGAACAGGCTTCAGGCTCAAAGGGGTTAACTATGTCAATATATACAGGTGGATTCACAAATATACAGGCTACTCAAAGAATTGCCTCAATCATCTCTAAAACCAAACAGCTTCTATTTCGCTTTGCAAACATACAGGGCAAGTTCTAGGTATCAACTCTAAAATTCTCTGTCTTCTCTCTAGAAAGAGAAGGAATAGTATTTTTGTCACCATTTTCCGACCATAATTCCGGCATCCGGTGGCGGATTGTCGCAAACTTGGTGTCAAAAGAAGCATCTTCTCTTTGTGCACAAACCCCAATTGATTTCATGCTCAAATCTGTAGCGAATTGGTAAGGATCTTAAATTTCATTTTGTGGTTACTGTAGCAACCAGGTATTTTTCATTAACTTCTTCTGATTCTTCACGTTAATGGAGTGTTGAAGAGTTTCATGTCTGTTGCGTCCTCTCCCCAGCCTTTGGCTATGGGAGAGCCATCTATTAAACCAACATATGCTGCTCAGATCCAAACCAAATCACCAACACAAATTGCAACAAAAACAGTGTTGAAATCAATTCAATATGTACATGGCGAACCAACTGTTTGTTTTACCATGGAAGAAAGGCGTGAATTTGCAATGGAGGAGAGGTTACACCAATATTTTGTTTTTAAACTATCTTCAGGTGCACCAGATCTCAAAGAGCTAAGAAATTTACTGCCCAAACATCTAGGAACAAAAGGTCGATGCCTCGTAGGTTCACTCGCACCAAGGCAAATTTCTGTTAAGATTCGATCAAAATGAAGATTATGTACAGGCCTTAGCTCGCACAGTAAATTACCAATCATGGAATGGCAAAGAACACCAGTATAGAGTCTTTCCATGGACAATTGGATTTAATCCAAACGAAGAAACTACAATGGCAGTAGTTTGGATTTCGTTGCTGAATCTGTCGCCGGAGTTATTTGCTATGCGTTCGTTAATATCAATTGCTTCTGCTGCTGGAAAACCTATAGCCATTGATAAGCGACACAAATTAAATCCAGACAAAGCACAGTAAGGGTGAAGGTAATTTTGGACCTGATGAACAAGCATCCCAAGCGAGTGAGAATCCAAAGTTTGAATAAAAATTTTGGAAAACTTATTGAAGTTTTTCAGGAAATTATGTATGATAATCTACCTTTGTATTGTAATTGCTGTAAATACCAGGGACACAATGAGAAAACATGTCAATATATATCGAAAAGGTCACACAAAAATGATGAGATTGAAGATGTAGAAGTTTTTCAAGAACCAATTGACAAGGTCCTGTAGAACAATATCAAGGGGATTTAAGGCAATTGTTGAATGCAAGAAAGATGCAACAGGTTTTAAAAGGCAAAAGTGTGGATCCAGATAACAATTTTGAAAATAATTCCCTTGTTTATCATCAAGGAGATGATGAAAATAAGCAGAATATTGCAGCAACTCAGTCTGCATTGACTGATGGTTAGACCTGTCCTGCCACCTTTTCTGTATCACGAGTTATTTTAGGGTGTAACTCGGATGTTTTCTTTAGTTTCTTGTCTTTTAATTTTCCAATGTAAACCCTGTTATCTTTAAATTCCAAGAAATGAAATCAATATTTCATCGTTCATCTTTCTTTATTCCTTCTGATTTTGTTATTTTTCTCTTTTATTTCTTCTTTCAGTTCTAATAATGCGGCATTAAATAACATGACATGCTTGCGGACTTCATGCCCAGATCCAAACATGCTGTCTAACTGCGAAATAATGAACCAAGAACCGGAGTATGATGAAGAGGAGGCTTTTAGGGAAATAAATTGAGAATTGGAACAATTTGAGAATAAACCTAAGCCGAACTTAAATGATACTGAACCGGTTAATTTGGGTATTTCTGAAGAAATCAGGGAAACCAAGATAAGCATTCACACAGACGAAAAAACTCAAGACGCATTAATCCAACTCCTGTTTGAGTTCAAAGATGTGTTTGCTTGGTCATACGATGACATGCCAGGGCTGAGTGTTGATTTGGTGGTTCACAAGTTGCCAACATACCCCGATTGTCCCCCAGTCTAGCAAAAGCAAAGAAAGTTTAAAACTGATATCAGTGACAAGATCAAAGAAGAAGTCATGAAACAGTTGAAAGCGGGGGTGATCCGAGTGGTCCGGTACACCACATGGCTAGTTAATATAGTTCTAGTGCCAAAGAAAGACGGGAAGACCCGACTGTGTGTGGATTACAGAGATTTAAACAAGGAAAGTCTCAAAGATAACTTCCCTTTGCCGAACATCTGCATCCTTGTTGATAACTGCGCCAAGCATAAGATACAATCTTTCGTGGATTGTTACGCAGGATATCACCAGGTGTTGATGTATGAAGAAGATGCGAAGAAGACAGATTTTACCACACCTTGGGGTATATACTGTTACAGAGTCATGCCATTGGGTCTGAAGAATGTCGGGGCAACCTATATGAGGGCCATGACTTCCATTTTTTACGATATGATACACCAAGAGATAGAGATGTATGTGGACGATGTAATCAACAAATCCAAAACCCAGGATGACCACGTTCGGGACTTGAGAAAGATCTTTAAGCGGCTGTGCAAATATAATTTGAAGCTGAACCCAGCCAAATGTGCATTTGGGGTACCATCTAGCAAACTCCTAGGATTCATCGTTAGTCGGAGGGGCGTCGAGTTAGACCCAACAAAGATAAAGTCTATTCGAGATTTTCCTCCTCCGAAAACTAAGAAGGATGTTATGAGTTTGTTGGGTAGATTGAACTACATCAGCTGGTTCATTGCCCAGTTAACATCCACATGTGAACCCATATTCAAATTGCTGAAGAAAGATGCGACAATCAAGTGGACAGATGAATGTCAAGAAGCTTTTGATAAAATTAAGGAATATTTGTCAAACCCGCCAGTCTTGGTGCCACCTGAGCCAGGGAGGCCTTTGTTCTTGTACTTGACAGTCTTGGAAAATTCTTTCGGCTGCATCCTCGGGCAACATGATGTGGCCGGAAAGAGAGAGCAGTCCATTTACTATCTGAGCAAGAAATTCACCAGTTATGAAGCCAAGTACACTTTGTTGGAAAGGACTTGCTGCGCTTTGACTTGGGTCGCTCAGAAGCTGAGGCATTATTTGCAAGCCTACACCATTTACCTCATAACCAGGTTGGATCCTTTAAAATACATATTCCAGAAGCCAATGCCCACTGGGAGGTTAGCAAAGTGGCAGATTCTGCTTGTGGAATTCGACATAGTATATGTCACTCGCACGACAATGAAAGCCCAGGTGTTAGCAGATCATTTGGATGAAAATCCGGTCGATGATGAATACTTACTTCCCAGATGAAGAGGTAAACTCAGTTGAGGCAATATCCTAAGACATCAATGCTTGGAAAATGTTCCTCGATGGAGTGGTAAACGCAAAAGGTGTAGGAATTGGGGCAATCTTGATCTCGCCCACCGGTCAGCATTATCCGGCCACAGCTAGGCTTCGGTTTTTCTGCACAAACAACACTGCCAAGTATGAAGCTTGCATTATGGGTATGAATATGGCAATAGACCAAGATGTCGAAGAACTGTTAATCATGATAGACTCAGATTTGATTATCCGACAAGCTCAAGGAGAATGGGAAACCCAAGACGTCAAGATTATTCCTTATAGGCAACATGTGGAAGAACTTGGCAAGCGATTCAAGTTAGTAGAGTTCAGGTACATTCCTCATTTTCACAATGGACTAGCTGATGCGCTTGACACTTTAGCCTCAATGCTACCATACCCACGTAATGCCCACATTGACCCTTTGGAAATCCAGATCCGAGAAAGGCATGGTTATTGTAATACGGTTAAAATAGCACCAAATACCCAACCATGGTACCATGACATCAAAAGGTTTTTGAAAATGCAAGAATACACCAAGCAAGCCAGTGGAGACCAGAAGAGAACCATTAGGCGGCACGCAAGTGGTTTCTTTTTGAGTGGCGATGTCTTGTACAAGAGAACTCGGACCTCAACTTGTTAAGATGTGTTGACGCAGAAGAGGCTGGAAGAATCATGCATGAGGTACACGCGGGAGTATGAGGACCCCACATAAACGGGTATGTTTTAGCAATTAAAATCCTTCGAGTGGGTTATTAATGAATAACCATGGAAAAGGACAGTGCCAGCTTTGTCCGGAAGTGTCATCAGTGTCAGGTGAACGGTGATTTGATTCATGAACCTCCCACAAAACTACATCTCATGTCAGCACATTGGCCATTTGTTGCTTGGGGTATGGATGTCATTGGGCCAATCGAGCCGAAAGCCTCAAATGGGCACAGATTCATACTAGTTGCCATTGACTACTTCACGAAATGGGTTGAAGTCATCACTCTCAAATCTGTCACCAAGAATGTTGTGGTAGATTTCGTGCACTCCAATCTTATCTATCGTTTTGGCATTCCTGCAACTATTATCACAGACAATGCTGCAAACTTGAATAGTCATTTAATGGAAGAGATATGTGAACAATTCAAGATAACGCACCGGAACTCTACTCCTTATCGGCCCAAAGCCAATAGTTCCGTCGAAGCAGCAAACAAAAACATCAAAAAGATTTTAAGAAAGATGATTCAAAGTTCCAGGCAGTGGCATGAAATGTTGTCGTTTGCATTGTTGGGATATCGCACTACTATGCGCACGTTAATTGAAGCCACCCTGTATCTTTTGGTTTATGGCACTGAAGCCGTGATACCCGCAGAGGTTGAAATCCCATCTCTCCAGATCATCGTTGAAGTTGAAATCGAAGACAGTGAGTGGGTTAAAACCTGGCTGGAATATTTAACCTTGATCGATGAAAAGCGAATGGCCGCAGTCTGCCACGGGCAGTTGTAGCAACAAAGAATGGCCCATGCCTACAATAAGAAAGTCCGGCCTAGAAATTTTGAAGTGGGGCAACTCGTTTTAAGGCGTATCCTTCCCATCACCAGGAAGTGAAAGGAAAATTTGTTCCTAATTGGAAGGGATTATAAATCATCAGAAAGATATTGCCAAAAGGGGCATTGTATCAGGGCGATATTGAAGGGAATGATCCCGAAGCAGCTGTAAATACAGATGCAGTCAAAAGGTATTATGTTTAGCTTTTCTATAGCGACAACCTTGTCCGAAGACTTTCATTCTCGCTACCAAACACTATCCACCCTTTGCAAACCCATTTGAGCCAGTTACTCTTCTTTGATTACCCTCTTGGGAACCGTAAGTGTTAAAAAAAGAAGCAAAAACAACAAAACAAAATGTTTCCCAGAACTACGTTCGACTTGATTCCGAAAGGATACGTAGGCAGCCTCTCTCTGGGGTTTAGTCACACCAAAACAAAAAGGCAATTTTCCCCAAAAAAGTAAAACTAGGGCAGATGATATAATGGTTCAGCGATGATCCCGCAGAACGGTTCCAAAGTTGTAACGCGATCCAATTCTCTTTTTACCCGAACCCTGTTCAAGTCCTTCTGATCAATCAGCAAAGGCGTGGGAATTAGAAAACATAGCTGTTTGGATCTGATACAATCAAAATGAGAGAAATAAAATGAGAGAGTCTTATTGGTGAAAACCTAGGGGCACCATAAGGCGACGGTGAGCAGATAAATTGAAAATGAGAGAGCTTGGTTAGTGAAAACTCGTAAAGAGCACTATCAGGCGACGGTGAGAAGAGAAATGAGAGAGGTCGATTGGCAAAAACCCACAAAGGGCGCCGTTGATCGAAAAGAAGACACCCTCGCCACCATTGGAGTCCTGGCTAGGTATATCGATTTGGAAATATGGTTCACAATGAGTTTATGAGGAATTAGGGAAGTTTGTGCGGGTCGGACATCCAGTCCAAGAAGCATGTAATGTCTATTAAAGCCCGCATGCACCCTAGATAAGTCCTTCTTTCCCTCCCGAAAGGGACGCTTCTCCTTTAAATTCATTTTCTTGTCCTTTGTTTACTTTTCCTTGAATCCCTTTCGATCTGATTCGGTTCCGAAACTAATGCAAAGGAAAGGTGGCAAGAATGGTTTTATAGGGTTCCGCTCGATAAAAGCCAAATCCAAAGAAGAGTACCCAGCCTCAGCGGGTGCATCAAGTCAATTCCGACTGGCCATGATAGTTGATGCTCTGAAGCCAGAATGTTTGAAAATAACAGAAATCCGAAGTCAAAAGCCCTAAAAGTGGGATAAAGTGGAAAGACAAAGCCCCGTACGGTTTAACCGTCGTCTAGAAAGTTTGAAAAGTTGAGTTTCTCGGTTGGAAAGAGAGATCAATCTTCAGAAAACTGGCAAGCAGCAGAGGTTCTCACCAAAAAGTTGGGCCGAGATCAAGCGATTAAAACATTCAAGGCCACAAAAATCAACCATTGTTTCAAACTGACAAATTGTTCTTTGATTTGAAAATAGGAGAACAGGTGTATTCCAAAACAACCCTGCAAGAAGCAAGTGCAATAAAAGCAAGGAAGGCAGAAACCAAAGCAGCTCTGCAGCAAAAGTTGACCAGAAAAGGGAAGTCCTTTTAAACTCTTCATTCATTCTCCTAAATAAAATGAAAAGTGAATTAAAAAAAAAGAGGAAGAAGAAATAAGAAAGAAAAGAAGAAGAAGAAAAATTTAAAATCATGGTAGCCTATGGCCCCAATGTCTAGCTGCATTTTTTCCAACATAGGGTCCCATTCCCTAGTCACTCCCAGCATAACCTGTTAGTCTTTTCCATTGTAGGGTTCCATTCCCTAGTTGATTCTCGGCATAACCTGTGGATCTCCCTAGCATAACCCAAGGACCTTTTTCTTTTATCCCGGTATAACCTGAGGACCTTTTTCTTTTCCGGCATAAACCGATGAACTTTCCCGGCATAACCCGCGGATCTCCCTGGCATAACCCAAGAACCTTTTTTCTTATCCCGGCATAACCCATGGATTTCCTTGGCATAACCCAAGGACCTTTTTCTTTTATCTCGGCATAACCCGAGAACCTTTTGCTTTTCCGGCATAAACCGATGAACTTTTCCGGCATAACCCGCGGATCTCCCTGGCATAACCCAAGGACCTTTTTTCTTATCTCGGCATAACCCGTGGATCTCCCTGGCATAACCCAAGGACCTTTTTCTTTTATCTCGGCATAACCCGTGGATCTCCCTGGCATAACCCAAGGACCTTTTTCTTTTATCCTGGCATAACCCGAGGACCTTTTTCTTTTCCGGCATAAACCGATGAAATTTCTCGGCATAACCCGCGGATCTCCCTAGCATAACCCAAGGACCTTTTTTTTATCACGGCATAACTCGTGGATCTCTCTGGCATAACCCAAGGACCTTTTTTCTTTTATCCCGGCATAACCCGTGGATCTCCCTGGGATAACCTAAGGACCTTTTTTCTTTTATCCCAGCATAACCCGAGGACGTTTTTATTTTCCGGCATAAACAGATGAACTTTATCGGCATAACCCGCAGATCTCCCTGGCATAACCCAAGGATCTTTTTTCTTTTATCCCGGCATAACCCGTGGATCTCCCTAGCATAACCCAAGGACCTTTTTCTCTTATCCCGGCATAACCCGCGTATCTCCTTGGTATAACCCAAGGACCTCTTTTCTTTTATCCCGGCATAACCCGTGGATCTCCCTGGCATAACCCAAGGACCCTTTTCTTTTATCTCAGCATAACCCGTGGACCTCCCTGGCATAACCCAAGGACCTTTTTTCCTTTTCTCTCATCATAACCTGATTGATTTCCTCGGCATAACCCGAGGACCCTTTTTCTTTTCCGGCATAACTCGGTCAGCTTTCCAGCATAACCTGGCAATCCCCCCAATTTAGGGCTCCTCACCCTACTCCCAAGTATACACAATCCTGATTTTATTACTTTCAAATAAAGAGATAGCTTGGATTTGTGAGGCAAATAACTCACGAAATTTTCCTAGTGAAAAATTGGGGCAGAAAAATTTCGTTCGTTTGTTTGTTTGTTTTGGTGTCTGAGTAGGTCTTACCTCAAGGTGCGGGATTAGAGATGACCAAAAGAATGAGTCTCAATCCAGAATAAAGAAAAGAACAAAAAGAACAAAAAGAAAGGAAGTCAAAGCGCTAAGGCAGACAAAGATGCGGATTGATTGAAGTCACAAGCTTCGACTGTCCCGCCTTGATCCAATGCTGAAGAAAGAACCACCACCTACAGCTTGCGAGCATCAAGATTCAGATCGAGGTCCACAGTAAAATCAGCTAAGACTCAAGATCATGTTTTAAGAGATTTATAGATAGGAATCTTGTAACTCGTAGCTGATAGGCCTAGCTAGCTTAGCTTTGGATTTTCCTTTTAGTGTAACAAGGAAGTCAGCAAGCAGTAGCAGCAGCAACAGCAGTGAAATCATAGCTTCCTGGTAGTCCCAGCTACCAAAACTTCCAGAACTACACTGACCTAATTCCTTTATAGCCAAGGATATGTAGGCAACCTTTGAAGCAAGGTTCGGTCAGACTTTTTTCAAAATGCTTCTCATGGAGTGTCAAACGGGCAAAAATCCCTCATAATTGCTCTTTTTATCTTTGCCCGAAAACCCTTCGTGTCTCCGAGCAAAGAGGGTCAGCTGTGAGCACGTGATTTTTGCCTCACTTGAATTACTCCTACATAATCCCCAAAATTAGGATTTTCCTTTTATTATTATTTGATTTTAGGAATTAATTACTCAATTTTCGTGTTTGTTTACATTTTGTGTGCATATTTAATTTAAATCATGAAAAAATAAAAATTATCACGCATTGCATTCAGGAATTAATTTAACATTTTTGAGATTAATTAATAAATTGATGTTTTACAAAAATGGAAAAATCACAAAAAAAAAATAACTCATTTTTTTGCATTTTTAATTTTTAGATTCGAATTTTGGTAGTTTTCTTTAATTTGGTATTTAATTAGTTGTGGTAATTATTATTTAGAGTTAATTAATTTCATTTGGTAGGATAATCTAGTTTTAAGATTTTCATTTAGGTTTTTATTTTTTATTTGGAATTAATTAAAAGTTTTTAAAATAAAAGGAAAATGGGAAAAGGAAAAGAAGTGAAAAGAATCAGATTTTTTGGGCTAAATCCATGAAATTCCCCAAAGCCCAATTAATTCAACCCCTCTACCCAACCAAACCAGCCCAGATCCGCGTCCCAACCCGGTCCAAACCCCACCAGTAACCAAAACGACGTTGTTCCAATTGTCTTGATCAGGACCGTTGATTTCTTTCCATCGGGTGGTCCAGAACTAAGCCTCATTTTATATATAATTGTCCTAAGCCTACCCCCCCTATCAAACGCATCTCTCGCATATCACCCCCTCTCCTCAGAGACCTTACCCCCAAAACCCTAGCAGCCGCCCTTGAAATCCCACCGCCTGAGGCTGGCGGCGCCACCCCTAACTGGCCCCAAACGTACACCCTAAAATCCTCGCAACATCCCCTTACCAAATCCCTAACTAATTTCCCTCGAATCCTTTGGCATCTGCTCGAATTTCAAATCTAAGTGCGAACCCTAAAAGNCTAACCGGCCCCAAAATGTACACCTTAAAATCCTCACAACCTCCCCTTCCCAAATCCCTAACTAATTTCCCTCGAATCCTTTGGCATCTGCTCGAATTTCAAATCTGAGTGCGAACCCTAAAAGCCCAAAATCAATTTCTGTTGAATCTGTTGGCATGCATGACCATAGGCTTCCGATTTGTTCGAGTGTTGAAGTTTGATTCAACGCGAATTGATGTTGCTCATTTGTTCTTGACAAAGAACAAGTGATTATTATCAGTTCCGTTTAAATCAAGATGTCCAGCGTTATTTCGAGTTTAGTCTGTAAGCTTTCTTTATTTTTCTGTCCATTTTGTTATTTCACCTCCTACTCCTCTTCTTTCTCTTCTCATTTTTCATGAAGTAGACCGAAAATTGACCAAGGTTCTGAACCTAGGTTTCTTTTTCTGGATTGATTCATATCTGTATTGGTTCCGGCTGCTTTTCAGTTTTTCTTTCAATTTTTAAACGTTGTTTTTGGTAAGATTATTTACTCGTCATGCTTAATTGTCACTCATGACTTTAAGTTTCAGATTTTATTCTCTAGTCGTATGATTAGTTTAATTAGATGTTGT